CACCTGCGGGAACATCCCCCACCTGCGGGAGCATCTCTCACCTGCGGGGAACATCCCTCACCTGCGGGAACATCCCTCCCCTACGGGAGTGGCCCCCACCTGCGGGAACATCCCCCACCTGCGGGAGCATCTCTCACCTGCGGGAACATCCCTCACCTGTGGGAGCAGCCCTCACCTGCGGGAACATCCCCCACCTGCGGGAGCATCTCTCACCTGCGGGGAACATCCCTCACCTGCGGGAACATCCCTCCCCTACGGGAGTGGCCCCCACCTGCGGGAACATCCCTCACCTGCGGGAGTGGCCCCCACCTGCAGGAGCATCGCTGACCTGTGGGAGCATCCCTCACCTGCGAAAGCATCCCTCAACTGTGGGAGCGGCCCCTCACCTGTAGCAGAGGCCCTCACCTGCAGGAGCTGCCCTCCAGCAGCTGGGAGGGCAAGCCCAGACAGCAAGACACCTTGAACACACACTGTCGTGAGACACCAGGTCAGCTGGGGCTACAGGGAGGGCCACCCGCAGCTGGAGCCTCGCTAAGGACAGCGCCCTGTCCGCTGGGTGGTGGATTTACCCAGAAGCCCTCCTGCCACTTGGGTAACTACCTGACAGGGCAGACGGGCCGGGGCCCCGTCTGGGGCAGTACTTATCCCCACTGCCCAGTCTTGGGGTAAGAGCCACAATCAAGGGCAAGGCTGACCGCCAGGCACCAGAAATTCCACTGCCTGGGGACTGAGAAAGGAAGCCTCGCCACTCGGGTTTCCAAACGCCGACTCGGGAGGCCGGGCTGGAAGAGACAGGCAAGAATCGGCCCTGAAGACACCAACCTGGGCTGACTGCACTACGGGACAGGAGAAGCCGTGGGACCAGAAAGAGCTACAAATCACTCACGTGGCAGGCATCGCAAGTCTTCGGGCCCCCCGGGCACCCCCACACTTAATAAACTGAAGGACAGAAAACATGCTGAGGGGAAGCCGTGCTTGGTGTCCTGAGGAATGAAAAATGTCGAACGACAGAAACACTGAGGGTAGCTAGAATGAAGCCGGGAGGGACTAAAAAGCAGGAATCTGAGTGACAAGTGGGTCCCAGCCGGGCCAGATCGAGGAGGGCTGACGAAAGTGCAGCAAGCCGAGAGCGAGCGGTGGAGAACAGATCTCTGATACAATGGAGCTTGTGAACCAGGGTGTGTCGACCTCGGCACCACTGCCGTTTCGGGGAGCTGTCCTGACCAGCGGACAGAGTTCAACGGCACCCCCTGCCCAACCTCTGCTCACTGGACGCCGCAGCACCTCTCCCAGGCGTGACCATGGACAAGGCCTCTGGACACTGCCAAGTCATCCCGGGAGACAAAACCAGCCCCGATGGAGAGCCACTGCTCTAAACGGTTCTTTGAAGAAAGCTTGCAAGGTCAAGGGACCCTTATTTTAGCTGTGGTCTTTACACAGTTTTCACCCTCCCCAAAGATCAAAAAGGTTTGGTGTATTCAAGTTAAAATTAAATGTGTAAGACAAAATGAAGGTAAGGTAATCACTTGGGTGTTCATTGTTCCAAGAACCCGTAAGCTCCGCTTTGCAATAAACAACCTTCTCATTATGAAAGATCTTTCTATTTCCAGACTGCCTGGGAAACGTAGTCCTTCTATTAGCCATTAAAACTCTCCATTCAACATTTTCCGTGCAGTTCGGAGCAACACACAAGCAAGGTAGCTACATAACCACTTCACTTTCTGAAGAACTCAACAAACAAAAACTTCAGGTTACATTTATAAAATCCAGTCCAATGCCGCATTGGATAGTAATGATTGTTTTAGCTGTACAAAAAGAGTTCTTAGCATCTTTGAGATCAACATGAAAACTCATCCACATGTAATAACTCAAATGTGGCAATCTACTTACTATTTATGTGGTCCATGTAATAAATTCCAATTTGCTTATCATATACAGTTTCCCATCCTAAAGGAAGTTCATCCCCAACACAATCGGCAAAGGTCAATGGCTTTGTTATCCTGCAAAATAAAATTATGAAAGCAAATTTGAAAGTCAGGTCAATTTCGTGTACGTTGGCTTGAATCGACTCCAGAATTAGATTTGAATACAAAATTAGATATTATCTCATCTAATTGACTGCCTTTGCTCCAACTATTTAGGTGGAAAATTAACTGACTGGCTTTGCCCAAATAATAATCAGCAACAATATCTGTACGCTTGCAGTTAAAAGCATTCCTATGTCAAAGTGCAACTTTAAATAGCAGCGAAAAGAGATATGGACAGTTACAAAACAGGTAAACGAGCATCTTCTTCCAAGCACTACATTTAATGAGCTGATGACACTGGAACCTTCCACAAGAGGACACCTGTGTTTTGTTCTCATTCCTTTACAGATGCCCCCCCCCCCCCCACACACACACACAACGGTTTGCATGCATTACAGCTTAAATCTATCTGAAATGTATTGGTAAGTTTCACCTACCGGGCATCAGAAGTTAAGGAATGAAACATTAACCACTGACCAAATGCAAAAAGCCCAGCACGCGTGGCGACAATACAAGGAGATACCTACTAAATAAATACTGCCTGTATTCCTTATACAGTAGGAGGCAGAAATTGCCAAGGGTCCTTTTTTGTTTTCTGGAGAAAAACAACAAAAGCGCATTGTCTACAGACCTCTCTCCTTGAAGCACAATTGATTAAGGAAACCTTGGCTTGACATAGATACACAAAAGGTTTCCAGATGGGTTTCTTTAGGGAGAACGTCCCCTCCCCCACATCCCATGATCACAATGATTGACAAGACAGCTGTTGGATGAAACAGGCCACACCTTATAATTGTCTGAGTCTGGGCAGCTATCTCTTCGGTCGTCTCTATAAATGCACACTGACTGGTATGCATGGGAATCCGATAACCTAAATTTCACCACCTCAATCTTCCCACATCTTCTGTTCAAGTCCTTGGCCCCAGGAAAGTGAGATACCACAGCCACGGCCAAACCTCACAAGACCAGGATGAATTCTGAACATGTTATTTCCCCAAACTGGTTCGACAACAAGGCTCTGTCTCTCCCAGTAGCATTTAGAAACCGACAAGCGCCATCAGAATGGAACAGATTGTAATTTGTCTCCATTTTATACATAGTTTTTAGATGTTAGAGTCAACATCAAAACAGAAATATACAGAAGGCAAGATACACCACAGACAGCCTGCCAACTACAATGCACTCAAAACACACGGCATCACAGGATGAGCCTAGTGCACGCCACGCCGTCCCGAAACACCAACGTCCGGAGCACAATTCCTTTACAGGTCGGGGATGGCGTGATGGCGGCGTGGCTCCAAGTCAAGCAGGTAACAGTAGGGTGTTGTGCGTGATTCAAGTCCTGAATGGGATCAAACCACACCAAAAACGACGCTACTTCAGGATAAATGGAGCCCTGAGCACATCTCTGCCATTCTTGATTCGCACGTAAGCTGGGGGAAAAATGCTCAAGCACAGGTGCATTCCAAGCACGTTTACATCTGTGATCTCATTTCGTCAGCAAAGAGAGGTGGGAATCCTGAACTAGAGCTACTGAGGCCAACTCACTTCATAATTCAGAACTGTTATAAAACTCTCTGAAGTTCATCTTTTCAATTTTCTGTCCAATAGCCAGTACAGGGGATTATAATAACACTTCCATACTTGTTGTTCTAAAAATAAACCAAATGACACCTCTACTGTTCTAGTAGTGAATTTTATGTTGGCCTGATAGAGAAGCCGGATGTCTCTGACTCCACTTTTCTTTCTAAACAAGGCATGGAGGGGCGCCTGGGTGGCTCAGTCGGTTGAGCGTCCGACTTCGGCTCAGGTCATGATCTCACGGTCTGTGGGTTCGAGCCCCGCGTTGGGCTCTGTGCTGACGGCTCAGAGCCTGGAGCCTGTTTCAGATTCTGTGTCTCCCTCTTTCTCTGACCCTCCCCTGTTCATGCTCTCTCTCTCTCTCTCTCTCTCTCTCTCTCTCTCTCTCTCTCTGTCTCAAAAATAAATAAATGTAAAAAAAATTAAAAAAAATAAACAAGGCATGGAGTTTGCACGGTCATCCACAGAATCAGTACTACAAAGCTAGCTGAGGAGGAAGCACCCTCTCAGAGTCCAGCTCACGCCAAGAGTAAGGTCCCTGCACCCACATAGAAGTTTATCAAGTCCTTGCTATTGGTCTTATCGATCCACAGGGCCTACACCTTGAGCCCATTTACTTACTTGACGGTAGTCTGAACAGGCTCAATGATGACGTTTCCCAGCTCCCAAAAGACAGAATTGGCAAGCTAGAAGGCAAAGATAGGGATCCCTTGGGCAGGCAGAACGCGGCAAAGGGGCCAGCTGACAGCAAGGAGGAGCACATAAACCCGCTCCCTGGCTTCATCCATCATACTGTGAATGAAACGCGCATGCCTACAGCAGGACACCCGTGACAGCCAGCTTCTAAGAGGGCTCCCAATGCCTCCTGCCTCCTGGTGCTCATGGCCTCACACAGTCCCCTCCGCCACAGAACGGGTTGAGCTGTGCAACCGACAAGATACTGAGGAAATGACGGTGCGTGGCCTCTGAGATGCAGTCATAAAAGACACTGTGCTTCCATCCTGCTCTCTTAGATTGCTGGCTCTGGGGGAAACTGGCAGCCAGGTTGTGAGCTCCCTAAAGCGGCCCGATGAAGAGACCCAAATGGGGAAGAACTGAGGCCTCCTGCCAACAGCCAGCACCAACTGGCTGGCCATATGGGTAAACCACCTTGAGAGTGGGTCCACCAGCCCCAGTCAAGCCTTCGGATGACTTCGGCCCCGGGCAGCATCTTGACCACGACACCTTGTGAGACCCAATCAAGGCCCACCCAGTGAAACTCCCATATTCCTGCACCACAGGAGTCACGTGACATAATGCTCACTGTCATTTGAAGCCACTAAATCTCAGAGTGATCCGTGATGCGGCAATAGGAAACCAATAAAACACCTAAGCTCTCACTTCCCTTCCCAGTCTATCGTCAGATCCCGTCCGTAGTGGACGTTTGTGGTGATGATCCAGGCTGTCCTCTATTAGGAGGCAGTGAAATGCAGAGAAGGCTTTTCCTCCTATTGCAGAACATTACAATAAACATCCATGCCGATCTTCTGATTCACCCATCTACCAGGCCGACACACCCTCCAGACTTCCAGACGGTTGCGACTTCATGGCACACAGGCACATTCTGGCCTGACTTTCAACAACAGCATCGAGCGTGTCTAAATTGATTGCCCTAATCATCATTCCGAAATATTTATGGGACAAAGACTTCACGGTTTTCTGTTGCACAGCACAGGCCATCCTTGAATATTTGAAACTATACCAATATCAAAATGATGTCTTTCTCCCAAGAAGGGTGTTGGTGGGTAACATTGCTTCAGTAATGACTAAATCACTTCAGATGAGAGGTTCGGTCTTAGGATGTATTTGATCACGTTGATCTAATGAGGGGAGCTGAATAAATCCTGGTTCCCTTTTCACTGCCAGAAGGCCAACGTCTGGGAGTCTAGAACAGTGGAGTTGTTTTGGTGTTAGTTTTTCAGCAAGGAGTGCTTTCTGGCTGTTGTTGGCTAAAAAGCAGGATTCCTGTATGTCAGGGGGAGGCCTGGAGCCACGTGGGGGAGATCTCGTACTCAGCCAGAGACGACCAGCACCCTCAGCAAGGTGGTGGGCTTCTTCCGGGACAATCTTGTGACCCTTCATCCTGGTGACGCTCATCCCTCCAAGGGGGCGGCGACACTGATGTCCAACGGCCCCTCCTCGAGCGCAGCGGCTGTCTGCCGGTGCACGGCACTGAGTGCCAGGATAGGCCCAGACTGGGGTTACGAGTCCTCCCTAAGGCAAACCCAAAGTTCTGTCTTCACTCACTCACAGGCAGGCCGGCCCAAGCTCCTGAATTCTCACCTCCCCAGAAACCTGACGCTAGATTTTTCCAGCCGACACCTTCCCACAGTCACCACACACACAGGCTCAGGGGCATTTTTGTTTCTATTACAGTTTCCATTACAGAAAGTTTAGGAACTACACCTGAATAGGAGAGAACTGTCCATTCATACCGCCACGCAAATAAAACCATTATTCCTATTTTACTGTGTTTTCCTCCACCTTTTTTCTGTGTTCTTTTCGATCTTTTTTTAATGTTTTATTTATTTTTGAGAGAGAGACACAGGGAGAGAAACAGAGCACAAGCGAGGGAGAGGCAGACAGAGAGGGAGACACAGATTCTGAAGCAGCTCCAGGCTCTGAGCTGTCAGCAGAGGCCAACACAGGGCTCGAACTTGTGAACTGCAAGATCGTGACCTGAGCCGAAGTTGGACACTTAACTGACTGATCCACCCAGGCGCCCCTCCGTGCTCTTTTAATTTGTTTTTTCTTTTTCTTTTTTTTTTAATTTTTTTTTCAACGTTTATTTATTTATTTTTGGGACAGAGAGAGACAGAGCATGAACGGGGGAGGGGCAGAGAGAGAGGGAGACACAGAATCGGAAACAGGCTCCAGGCTCTGAGCCATCAGCCCAGAGCCCGACGCGGGGCTCGAACTCACGGACCGCGAGATCGTGACCTGGCTGAAGTCGGATGCTTAGCCGACTGCGCCACCCAGGTGCCCCCCCCCCAGGGCTCTTTAAGAAGGTGGCATCGGGCCGCCCCAGTCGGTGCCAGTTCCAAGAGAGCCATTTACTGCCGAGAAACCCTGGATGAGTCATTCTGTTTCTCCCTGAGCCCCAGTTTCCAAATCTTCAAAATGGGGATGAGCCAACAAACCCGCCAGGCTCGTGCTAACTGGGGGTGGCCTCTTTAGTTACAGCCTGGACGCGGGCTGCGGCCGCTCCCCTTCCTGCCTCCCTCTTGTGTCTCCAGGAGACTTGTTTCGGACCGTATTCATCTCCTCTTGCTGCTGGGACGCATGATGACAAACGTGGTGGCTTTAAACAGCATAGGTTTTTTTTATCTTACAGTCCTGGAGATCAGAAGCGC